ACTCACTCACACACGCTCTCACACACTGTCATACACACACTCTCACACACACTATCACACACTCAAACACACACACGCGCAGCCATGCACACTCACTTGCAGGCCTCACCCCACCGTCCGCCACAGCTATCATTCCTCTCCCTCCCCCCTCTCCCTTTCTGCAGCTTCTCTCCTCGCTTCCTCCTCTCGTCCCCTTGCCCCTTCCGCACCTCCTCCCCCATCCCCCTCTACGCCCCCCTCCCCCTTCCTGCCCCATCCTTTCTCCCCGTTCCCCGTTGGCACGGCATGGAACGGAACGGCATGGCATGGCACCCATCAGGTTCTTTGGGCCATCAGTGGACGAGGATGCATTGGCGTACCTGACTCTCGCCAACGACATGCTGCACCAGCTCAACCCCAGCTTCATCACCATTGCGGACGATGTGAGTGGCGCAACGGGGTAGCTGGGCTAGGGTAGGCAATGGATACGAGAGGCCAGCCAGAGAGCGAGGGGTCTGATCTGATCGAGCATGCGACGTGCTGCACCACCAGCTCAACCCTGGCTTCATCACCATTGCTGACGATGTGAGTGAGGCAAGGGGGGCGAGAGGGGCGAGGGCTGAGGTGCTATGGGCCTTCTTCACCTAGCCAAACGCTGCTTTCTACATTCTTTCCTGCTCACTAGTCATTCACTCCTGCCCCCATCCTTCCTCCCCCCTCCCTCCGCTGCTCTCTACCCATCCCTCTTTCCTCACCTCAAACCTTCCCCGCATCCCACACATGCCCTATTCCCCCAGGTGACTGTGTACCTGGGCGTGTGTGCCGTGATGCACCAGGGCAAGGTGGTCTGGGCTTTGGCCTGCTTCGCCTTAGTTAACTCTGCCTCACATGATACATGCTATGCCTCAACTCCTCACCCCCTCCCCCCAGGTGACGGTGTACCCGGGTGTGTGTGCGCCGACGCACCAGGGCGGGCTGGGCTTTGACCTGCGGCTGAACACCGCGGCCATGGAGATGTGGCCGTGGCTGCTGCACCATGCGTGGCCGGGCGGGGAGGCACGGGACGGGCAGAAGCACCTGGAGGAGTGGAGCATGGAGGAGGTGAGGGCGTGCGTGTGTCCGTGGGCTAGCGCGAGTAAGTTTGCCCGTTCGCGACTATACGGAGATGTGGGTGTGGCTTGCAGCATGCGAGGGTTGAGGGGGGGGAGGCATGGGAAGGGCAGAAGCACCTGGAGGAGGGGAGCATGGAGGAGGCGAGGGCGTGGGCGTGGGCGTGGGCGTGTGCATGTGCGTGTGTTTGTCTGTGATTGATCTTGACCTATAAGAGGGTGTCTGAAGTAGTATGGGTGGGACGTAACTGAGAGGCAAAGCGGGTTACCAGAATGTAACCTCCATCGTTTTGGTTTCCGGGATGTCCGAATTAGGGCCCCACATAAGAGCACACACGTTTCGTCAGGCCGTCTCGACAGCAGGCACACCCTGCATCTCCCCCTCTCGCACCTGTCCTTCCTCCCTCCCACTCCCCCCCCTCCATGTGTGCGCTGCAGATGATGATGACGCTGCTGCAGCAGGGGTCGGCAGAGCACACTCTCGTGTGCGCTGAGAGCCACTGGCAGGTGGGTGGAGAGGGGAGAAAGGGTGCTCTTTTTCAGAATCTTCAAGAACCAACTCAACTCAGGTGGGTATGAAGGGCAGAGGGCGGCACAGGCAGGTGCGTCAGGTGAGGGGAGCAGAGAGGGGCACTGGGAGAGAGGTGCGTGAGGAGGAGAGAGATGCAGTGGCAGGTGGAGTTGGATGGATGTGTGTGTGCATGTATATGCATGTGCACGTTCATCATGGGTCTCTCTACGTCAACATGTTTGTATGTATCCCTCCTAGCTTCTGCTTAGAGCTCCTTTCAGGAAGCGAAGGCCTCTTTCGCTAGTCATCCTCTCGTTGTTCACATCACATGGCCTCAAGAAGCGGCGGGGCATGTCGCACTACGTCTCAAGCAATTGTACCCTTTGTCGAGTCTTTCAGCGTTTCCTTCCGCCTCCCTGCGCCTCCTCCTCCCTCCCTGTGCACACCATTTCACACCACGGCCTCACAGGCTGTTGCGGGGGATCCTCTAGCTCACGTGCTCATCGGCCGATACATGCCTGATGATGATGCGCCATCAGCAAGAACACGCTCCCTCACACCATCATCGTCATCATCTCCATCAACAGCAGCAGCAGCAGCAGCAGCAGCAACGCCAGCATGGTACCAGCAACCACAAGTGCACAGAGGGACGGCCCTGTACAAAGTAAAACCCCTTAACCAAGCCTTTTACCCCTACCCTCGTTCCACCATTCCCCTACCTTCTGTGGGTACTATTTATTCGGCATTCAGCCCCTTATCTGGCATCCGTTCAGCCTGCTTCCATCCTATTTCTGCCGTCAACCTCCAACGCCTTCCGCTTTTCTCTCCAGCAGTCGTGCTTTCTTTTCCCACAAGTCACTTCATCTCTCAACCCCCCACCTTCTCCTGCCGCCCCCTCGTCATACAATGGGCAAGATGCTTGTACCGTGCGTCAGCGCTCTTCATCCGCTCTCCTGCACTGCACCCCCCCCGCCCTTCCTCGCCCTTGTCCCTCGTCTCCCCGTCCATTCCTCGCTTCCATCCCCATGGCAGCTGATTCGGCTGATAACCCTGGCAGCGGCAGGGGATGCTTTTCTGTCGTTCATGGGGAATGAGTTCGGCCACCCCCATGTGAGTCGGGCCCATGCTCCTGCTCCCTCCCTTCTGCTCTCTGTGCTCTGCTCTGCGCACGGCACGGTAGCTCATCACACTTCTAACTGCTCCACCATGTCTGTTGCTCGGTGCTGTTTCTTCTGAGTTGACCTGCAATGGCTTCTTCCACTTCCCTTCCTCCCGGTTCTGTCCCTGTTGGCCACTTTGCTGTTACCACTGTCCTCATCTCATCACTCCATCATCGCTCCGTCTGCCTCATGCTACCTGTCACCCACTACTCCGCTTGCCCACACAAGTCGGGGAATTTTCGTGCCATGCTCCAGCTGTTTGCCAGGAACTTGGATTCGGGAATGCACAGTTTTCATACCACCATCACCATCACCGTTGCCATCACCATTGTTGTGCTTCTTCCCTCTCTCACCCCCCTCCTCCCCACCCCCCACACCCCGCGCTTCTGTCCCCAGCGCCTGCACCTGTCGTCGCGGCCGCACGAGGGCTCGTCGCAGTGCTGCTGGCAGCTGCAGGATGACGCCCGCGGCCCCTTTGCACAGCTGGCCGCTTTTGACAGGGTACTGTGACGCAAGCACGCATGCACACATGGTCACATACGCGCATGCACACATGGTCACATACGCGCATGCACACATGGTCACATACGCGCCTGCACACACATGGTCTCATGTTTTTGCTCACTACACTTTCATGACATATGTATGTTGGCATGTGAATGCACTAGACATACATGTGTTGAAGCATACTCTTATCCACATGCACATTCTTGAACCGTGCATTTGCATGTGCGTTAGTATTCAGGCACCCGGATTTGTCATGCGAATGCATGGCCATCAGCCTACATCACTCCGGTTTTGGTTCTCTGGATGGTGGCACGCCCCGGCATGGCACATGATGGAATGGTGTGCTTTGTTGTGGATCATTATAACATGGCATGGCATGGCATGGCATGGCATGGCATGGCATGGCATGGCAGGCGGTGATGGCACTGGACGAGAGGGAGGGAGTGCTGGCGTTGGACAAGCCTCACATGCGCCATGTTAGCGAGGAGCACCGGGTGAGATGATGTGATGCCATGGACGGTACTGTGGTTTCATGCTGTGCCATGCCATGCCATGCCATGCCATGTTGGACCGTATGGCGCCATTCAGCAATTGAGTTGACTAGAAGGCAAGCCTCACTTGCACCATGTGAGATGCTGGGACGGCATGTGGGATGCTGGGATGGCATGTGAGATGCTGGGATGGCATGTGAGATGCTGGGATGGCATGTGAGATGCTGGGATGGCATGTGAGATGCTGGGATGGCATGTGAGATTACGTGGTGCCACGTTCTCCATCTTCTTCAGTCTCACGACCGTGTTGCATTCAATCGCAGCATACAGTCACTTTTCAGAGCTGCGTGTTAGAGCAGATGATTGTAGCATGAGGGGGAAAATCAATCATGCCATGCCCGCTCACACTCTCAGCTCTCTTCCTTCCCATATCCCCTCATCTCACCACCCCCTCTCGTCTCTCTTCCCACCCTTGCTTCTCGTACCTCCCTGTCCATCCCCTTCCCCTCCGCTCCCCACCCCCGCCCGCCCTGCGTGGTCTTGTGGCAGGTGGTGTGTTTCACGCGCGGTGCGCTGCTCTTCCTCTTCAACTTCCACCCCTCCCGCTGCTTCGCCTCCTTCTCCGTTGCCCTGCCACGTGCCGGCGAGTACACTGTGAGTCAACGCAAGTCAACCCAGCCAATTCAATTTTTCCTGCTGGTGCCACAACAGGCCAGTGAGGCAACCATCCGTTCTCTCCACCATACCTTTCCACCACCGTGCCTTAGCATTCTCGCACACATCCATTCGCCCTGCCTCCTGCCACAGCACCGCCCTCCCTAAGTCCTCGTGGGACTGTCCATCTGCCCCTCTGCAATCCTTTTGGCCCAAAATAGCCCTACTCTTTGGGTTTGCAGTGCTCCCTGCCACACTGTCCCCCTCTCCGTATTTTCCCCCCTTCCCCCCTCCCTCGCTCCCTCCCTCCCTCTTTCCCCCCCTCCCTTCCTACTTTCCTCCCTCTCCCTCCACCTCCTCGTGCCAGTTGCTGCTGGACTTTGTGCCGCCTGAGTACGGCGGCGGCCACGGCACCCGCTCCCTTCCTCCCTCCCTCCCTCATTCATCCCGAACCCTCCTCTCTCTGTCCGCTCGTCCCATACCCCCCGGACCACCTGTCCTCGTGCCAGTTGCTGCTGGACTCGGAGGCACCTGAGTACGGCGGCGGCCACGGCACCCACGGTATCCACGCGCCGCCGACAGTGCACGCCACACCCACACCGCTGCCGCCCCACTCGTACGTTCCGGCCCACCCCTTGCTAACCGCACAACCCCCACTGGTCGCATCGCCCACCCACACTATGCGCACACCAGACTCAGCTTAATGGGTGTGTTTTCTCCAGCATACTCCGGATCAGCTCCCTTTTTCTCCAAGGGTCCTAGTTTCAATCTACTAAAAAGCACCCATTTTCCCCATGGATTCTGAGCGGCCGTCCATGGCAGCCATGGGGAAGCTGCTCTTCCACCCATGTTTCTTTGCTTCCCTCCCTCCCCTTCCAACCCCCACTGTGGTCCTTCACCGGTTTGTTTGTTCCTGCGTACATTCTGCCCTGATTCACCGTACCTCGTCATTGATCTTGCCAGCTTTTTGCTTGCCCCTAATGCCACCTCTTGTCGCTGCCTCTATCGTGCACCGAACGACCGTGTGCAATCCTTCATCAGTCATCCTTGGTCCTCCCACCAATCATTGGTCTCAGGCAATCATACCGCAGGGGAGCCACTGCATCCTTCGCCCTGCCTGCTCTCACTGCCCAGGTGCCTCCCACAACCCACCCAAGCCTCTCCCACCACTCCTCCCCCCTCCATGCTCCTCTGCAATGCTCCCTTGCATTCTGCCTCCTTTTTTGTTCATGATACTATCTGAAAGGGTATTGTAAGGAATTCGTAGACGTATGCGAACCTTCATTTATCTCAACGAAATCACATGTTATGAGCTTCAGAATTCTTCGTTTTCCACCGTGCATGCTCATCATTGCTCCTATGGTCAGTTTTCGCTCTCCCTCTTGCTCCATCCCCTCAACTGTCCCCCCCGCTGGCAGGTGTACCGACTTGATAGAATCTGGGAGGGCAATCCTGCCTCTGTGCCCTCTGAGCTTGTCTGACTCTTTCCTGAGTCCTGACTCCTGTTCTGGCCCCGCCGTTGGCTTGGTGTTTTGAGTTGAGCGACACTACCCTTATGTCGTTTTCATTGCCTACTTGAGAATGCAGCTTCGGTAATTTCAGTCGCCGGTTTCTAGATCCCAGCTAGGTACAATGAAGAGCAGGGTGATATCGAGTCGAGTGCTCAATGTTCATCCTCCAATAGGATATGCCCTGTACTTGAACGTGGGGCAGTTGGTTGTGTTAACGTAGAAACAAATGATTACAAGAGGTGGAAACCTAGAACAAATACTAGTTGGTTGTACTCACTAGAAGCATACCTCAGTCTAGCCTATAACTTCTACATAGATAATATGTATAAGTTGACACACCCCCTAGGCTAGACAAGGGGTGAAATTAAACAAGAAGCAAACAGCTCAGGGCGGCACTACTAGTCCAACCACTGAGGCAGGGGTCTGGAGACCAGTCAGCAAGAATACAACCAAAACTGAAGCAAGCCAGGGTGGCACTACTAGTCCAGCCACTGGAGGTAAGGCCACAAGGCCAGTCTGACAAGCATATATAATAGAGAGTACACAATCAGGATCCTAACAGGGGAGCAGCTATAGGAACAAGACCAAGCTGTACACAGTGCCGCTGATGATCTTTAGGCGCAAGCGCCTTAGTAAAGATATCAGCTGTGTTGGCACCTGAGGCCAAGTGAACTACGCGGGCCTGGCGGCGCTGCTGTAGCTCGCGCAGGAGGAAGTACCGCAGCTGGATATGCTTCGCTCTGCCCTCAAGCCGAGGCTCCTGACACAGGAGTATCATGGCCCTGTTGTCAGCGTACAGGACTGGGGCAGAGCTAGGCCGCTCACCTAAGTCTGTGAGCAAGAAGGTCAGCCAGCGGAGCTCCTGTGCCGCCATGGCACCAGCGTAGATCTCAGCCTCACAGCTAGACTGAGCCACAGACGACGAGCGAGTGGATCTCCAAGAGATAGCACCCGAACCAAGGCTGAAACAGTAGCCCTGCGACGACCTGAGCGTCTCAGCGTCGTCTGCCCAAGAAGCGTCTGTGTGCCCAGTAAGGACCACTGGCCTGCGTCCTCCTAGCACTAACCCCATGCCTGATGTACTAGCAAGATAACGCAAAACCCTCTTAGCGGCAGACCAGTGCTGAGGTCGGTGTCTGCCTGTAGCCACAAAGCGAGCCAGGATGCTGAGAGGGTATGCGAGATCTGGGCGAGTGCAAGTCATCAGGTACATGAGGCAACCCACCAGCTCTGCGTAGGGGCCACTGGGCTCTACTGGCTCCTCAGGAACGGGAGCAGAGAGCCCATGGTCTACGGGTAGAGGTGTGGGCTGTGCGGAGGAGAACTGAAGACCGAACCTCTGAAGGACCTGACGCACCAAGTGTGACTGGGTCAGAGTGATGGTGCGTGCTGCTCTGTCCCTAGAGATCTGCAGGCCAAGATAGCGACGCAGCTCTCCAAGGTCAGTGCAGGTGTGTCTCTTCAGCAGCTCAGCCTTCACAGAGGCCAGTGCGTCCCTGTCAGGAGTAGCGAAGACCAGGTCGTCTACGTAGACAAGGATGTAGAACGGAGTCTGGCCAGAACGCACAAACAGTGAAGGGTCAGCAGAGGACGGAAAGAACTGCAGGTCTGCTAACGTGGCACGTAGCGTGTCGTGCCACTCGCGGGGAGCCTGACGCAGGCCGTAGACCGGGCGCCTGAGAAGCCACTGGGTCCCAGGAGGGAAGGTACCAGTGAAGCCCTGTGGTCGGCGCAGGTAGACCTGCTCGTGTAGGCTGCCCTGAAGAAAGGCAGTAGAGAAGTCGAGAGAGTGAAGCTCGTAGTCACGCTGTGCTGCTACGTGTAGCAGCGCCCGAAGAGTGGTCATCTTCGGGGTCGGGGCGAAGGTCTGGAAGAAGTCAACCCCCTCGCGCTGACTGAAACCTCTGGCCACGTAGCGCGCCTTGAAGACAGGCGGCTCTCCAGGGGGACGCTTCACCTTGAAGAGCCACCGACCATCGACTACGTTCACCCCAGGCGGGGGAACTGCGTCGACGTAAGTGCCGGTGGATCTCCAAGATGCCATCTCCTGCTCCATGGCAGCTATCCACTGAGAGGCCCAAGGTCCCGAGGTGGCCTCAGCGTAGGTGCGAGGGGTCGGGATGTCGAAGGCGTCTGGGTCACCCTCAGGGACTAACAGCATGGAGCAGAGATGGGGAGCAGCCTCGGAAAGGAAAGCCAGCTCGTACTGCCTGTCCTCTAGGACGTCACTGCCAAGGGCAGGAGCACCCCCGACGGACAGAGGACGGGCAGGGTCAGAGACCAGAGCGGTAGCGTAGTCAAGGCGGCGGGTAGAAGCGAAGTCAGCGACAGCAGCGACAAGCGCGTCAAGGCGCGAGACAGGAACAGCAGGGTCGGTAACAAGAGAGGCAAGGACCCGAGGGACAAGGGGACGAGCAGCACGGAGGTAGTCAGAGAACGGAGGAGGTGCAACAGCAAGGGACGAGGGAGGAGGGGATGGGAGGAGGGGAGGACGAGACGAGTGGGAACGGAGCAACATAGGGTGGGTGGGCAGGACAGGAGAGACGGGACGAGCACGGGAGGGACGGCGAGCCCAAACGTGAGACGGAGGGGTAGGGTCAGGGGACAGCGGAGGAGACACAGGAGGGGAACGAGGAGGAAGACGGGCCGGAGACGAGTCTGGCGGCGGGAACACAGGACCGTAGACAGGGAGGTCAGGAGGCGGTGGGGGAGACACCGGCGCGCGGTCCGGGGAGGGAAGGCCGAGCAGGCGGAGAGCGGAAACCGGCGGCGACGGCTGCTGTGGCGGCGACGACGGCTGGGCCGGAACTCTCGGACCAGCAGAGGCAGAACGACCGTCGGCAGAACACTCAACAGCAGCACCCCCAGAACCAACACCCCAAGAGCGAGAACCCCCTCCAACACCAGCGGCACCCCCAGAAGCCGCAGGACGAACACCCTCCTCCACACCAGCACCCCCAGGGGCCGAGAGCAGCGGCGGCAGTGGCGGCGACAGCGGCGACGGCTGCGGCGGCGACGGCGACGGCGGCGGCAGCGGGGTCGGCGACTGCGACAGTGGGGGCGGAGGCACTGGGGAAGGGGGACGCGGCAAGGACGGACCGGGGGTACCACCAGAGTCAGCAGACTCCTCAACGGGGACAACCGACGGGAGGGGAGTGACGTGGGAGACACCAGACGGGGCAGGACGAGGCGGGAGAGGGGCAGGGGCTACCGGGGGAGAGGGAGCAAGGAAAAGGGGGGGGCAACTGGGAGACCTCGGTGAGGGAAGCGGCGGTAGAAGGAGACGGACTCGTCAAAGGTGACGTCACGAGAGTGGAGGAAGCGGTGAGACGGCGGGTGGTAGAAAAGCCAGTCAGACGAGTCCAGGGGGAAACCGAGGAAGACACAGGGGACAGTGCGGGCAGTGAGCTTGTCCGTGCCAGAGGCACGAACGTGAGCAAGGCAGCCCCAGACGTGGAACGCAGACGCGTCACCGGGGGACCCGGTCCAAAGGAGGGTCGGCGAAACCTGCGGCCGCTGGGAGCGTGGCCACAGGTTAAGCTGGTGAGCCGCGTAGCGAACAGCGAACGGCCACAGAAAATGGGGGGCATCGGCATGGATCATGGAGGTACGGGCGACCTCCATGACCAAGCCGATGCGGCGCTCAGCAACCCCATTCTGCTGTGGCGAGTCCGGCAAGGTGTACGACTGAGTGATGCCCTCCGCACGACAGAACTGTCCAAGCCGACCAGAGGCGAACTCGCCGCCACGGTCGGAGTGGAGACACAACACGGGGAGACCGCGGTGGAGACGCGCAGCTACAACCCACGGGAGAAGAACGTCGGGCACGTCGGCCTTCCGCTCCAGGGGAAACACCGTGGTGTAGCGCGTGTAGTCGTCAACGAGCACAAGGAAGTAGCGCTCACCGCGCGGTCCGGGGACGGGGGCAGGGCCCCAAACGTCCAAGTGCAGGGTCTGAAGGGGGGCAGTAGCAGGACGCAGCGAGGAGGAGTGAGGAGCACGGCGGAGCCGACCCTCGACGCAAGGCGTGCACGGTGGCGCAGTCGAGGGAGGAAGGGCAGGGAGCGACGCGGGGAGACCTAAGACAAGACCGTGCTGGGACATGTGACGCAGACGCGGGAGAGCAGGGTGACCTAAGCGGTGGTGCCAGAGAAGGGAGGGGTGAGTGAGGGACCGACACGAGCAAGCTGCAGCGACCTGGGAGGACGCACCAACCGGGGGGGAAGCGGTGTGTAGGGTAAACAGACCGGACACCGGGTCCCGGGGGAACGTCGCAAGGGGGGAACCTGAGACAGCCTCAGAACAGACAGCGAACCGCTCGTGCCCGGGGAACGTGGTGGTGACGCCGAGGTCCTGGAGACAGCCGACACCAACCAGGTTCCTGGAGAACGAGGGAACGTGGAGGCCAGTAAGGGAGCCCGAGGGAACTGCCGGACAGGGAAGGGACGTAGAACTGCGCGCGACGACCGGACCCGCAGAGGGGTCAGCGAGAGAGACAACAGCAGGTGCAGCAAGCGGCGTGAGCGTGGAACGGTCGCGGAAGAAGCAGGCAGAAGCACCAGAGTCGAGAGTGAAGGACAGCGACGCAGTGGCGGAGGCCGCGGACGGAGCCGGTGCAGCGACTAGACTAGGCAACCTAGGCAGTCCTACGCCTGTCGCAGCAGGGGAAGCTAAGCTACACAAGGGTGAAACACCTAAACTAGAGTACACATGGTAGTAAGATCCATCAACACTAGAAGCGTCAGCATACAAAGCATGCAAAGCAGCACCTATCTGATCCATGTCTAACTCAAAGATCGGCACGCCCTGGCGGAGCAGGCTGTGCCAGTCAGGGAGGTCCGGGGCCGGGCCAAAGCGACGACGAAAAAGATCGTCGAGGCGGCGGAAACAGTGGGCGGTCGGGTGCGGGCGGCGGCACAGAGTGCCGCGGAGAGGCCCGGTCTGAAGCTGGTACTGGCAGGTCACAGCACTGGAGCCGCTGGTAGACGCCAAGCTGCGCGGGCCGCCACCACGGCCACCGCCTCCGGAGGTGCCGGGCCAACCAGGCGGGAGACGAGCCCACGGCTGCGGCGGGTGCTGCTGGGACGGCGGCTGCGGCTGGGGCTGGTCCTGCTGCTGCTGGGACTGCTGCTCCTGCCCACCGGTGGTAGTCCCCTCAGGCGGACTACCGTCACCACCACCACGACCACTACCACCTGCGTCACCACCCCTACCTCCCTGGCGGCCACGGCCACCGCGACGCGAGCGCTGCTGCGGGTGGACAGCAGCAGCCGTCTCGGTAAGAGGGGTCGCCGTGGCGACCGCAGCCGAAACGTCAGTGAACGTGCACGGGGATGGGGCACAACCGTGAAAGATAGAGACTGCCGGCGCACCGCTCGACTGAGCGATAGTGCGCTGGCGAGTCTCGATCTCAGTGAGGGTGTCGACAAAGGCGGTCAGGGTGAGGTCACCCGGGTGCTGGCTAAGAAAGTGGTCGCGAGCACTAGCGAGGCGGTCTGGCAGGCGCATAGCGATAAAATAGAGCGTCATGCAGAAAGGAGGGGGGAGCGCAGTGAGCTGGGCAGCAGTGCTGGCAGTGCGATAGCGAGTCTCTAGGGCACGCAAATGAGTGGCAAAATCTGCGACAGTAGGGAAGGCAGCCAGGTCTGGGAACAGCATCGGAAAGAGCAAGCGGCCAGCAGAAGCGGAGGCAGGGGTGGAATAGCGAGCAATAACGGCTTCTAAATAAGCTTTGGCCGTTTCAACAGTAGCAAAACGCGAGCGCTCAGACACAGGGAGGGCGTGACTAATAGCAACCTGAGCTACTGCATCGCGTGAGTCCCAGACCGCACAGGCTAGCGCAGCAGTAGAGAAAGCCTCACGGTCATCAGAGGAGGGGTCAGCAGGGAGGGGAGTAGGTGCAGGGGGACGGGGGAGCAAGCCATCAGCATGGACAACCAGAGAGTGGCCATCCTGGCGCTGACCTGTAAGCTGGCGGCGAAGATCGGAGAGCCAGGCGGCGAAGTCAACCGCGTGGCCCTCAGCGTCCAGGCGGAGCACAAAGTCAGCCATCGTGCAGGGTCAGCGGCACAGCTCCTCAGCGACACAGCGGCACAGCAGCACAGCTCCTCAGCGGCACAGGAGCACAGCGGCGCGGGGACACGGCGGCAGCACTCTCCAGTAGGGCAGCAGCTAGGCGTCCCAGCGCAGGCAAGCAGAAGACACAGGGCCCGAGAGGACACGGCAGGCCGAGCAGGGGAGGCGGGCAGGTGCTCTAGGGCCGGGCTGGTGCTGGGAGGGGCCAGGCTGGTGCTGCTAGGGCCGGTCGGGCACGAGGAGGGGCCGGGCAGCGCTGAGGAGAGGCCGGGCGGCGCTAGGAAGGGGCCGGGCGGCACTAGGAGGAGGCCGGGCGGCACTAGGAGGAGGCCGGGCGGCACTAGGAGGAGGCCGAGCGGCACTAGGAGGAGGCCAGGCGGGCGAGCGCTAACAGCAGGCGCGACAGGGGCCAGCGGGCGCGACGGGGCCTAAGGGGCGCGACGGGGCCCAGCGGGCACGACGGGGCCCAGGGGGGGCGCGACGGGGCCGAGGAGGCGCGACGGGGACCAGCGGGCACGACGGGGCCCAGGGGGGCTGCGACGGGGCCTAACGGGCGCGACGGGGCCCAGGGGGGGCGCGACGGGGCCTAGCAGGCGCGACGGGGCCTAGGAAGCGCGAAGGGGCCCAGCGGGCACGACGGGGCCTAGGAGGGGCGCGACGGGGCCGAACGGGCGCGACGGGGCCCAGAGGGGGGGGACGCGACGGGGCTTAGGAGGCGCGACGATGCCTAGGAGGCACGACGGGGCTCAGCGGGCTCGACGGGGCCCATGGGGGGCGCGACGGGGCCTAGGAGGCGCAACGGGGCCCAGCGTGGGCGCGTTAGGGCCTAGGGGTCGCGACGGGACCCAGTGGGCGCGACGGGGCCCAGGGGGAGCGCGACGGGGCCTAGGAGGCGCGACGGGGCCCAGCGGGCACGACGGGGCCCAGGGGGGGCGCGACGGGGCCTAGGGGGCGCGACGGGGCCTAGGAGGCGCGACGGGCGGAAGCGGTAGGCGGGGGGATCCTAACCTAAGCGTGATACCATGTTAACGTAGAAACAAATGATTACAAGAGGTGGAAACCTAGAACAAATACTAGTTGGTTGTACTCACTAGAAGCATACCTCAGTCTAGCCTATAACTTCTACATAGATAATATGTATAAGTTGACAGGTTGAGCATGCCCTTGTACTGGTACTGGTAGTTGAAGTGTATTAAAACCATGGGCTATGTGCATGCGTGGGATGCCTTCTGTTACTCGAGCCTGATTCGTGTACTACCCACGTCTTGCGAAAGTGGCAGTTCGAGCATTGTGTGGATGGATGGAGGGGTGAAATGAGGGCTTGAGCTTGGTGACATGGAAATGTGGAATGGCATGTAAATGTAAGAACTTTTTGACGGAAAAAGAATGTAACACCGTACTGTAACTCTTAACATAGTGTCGCCCTATTCGTCTCCACCTCGCCATGCTTCTGCTCCCCCGTCCTCTCCATCCCGACTTCTTCCCCCTGTGCTTCTGCACACACTACACCCACTACACGCACGCGTCGTTACCGTTTCCAGTACTGGGGAACGAAACCGCTCGCCTTGTCGATCCACCCCGTTATCAGCCAAGATGAACGCGCCAGATCGTTATGAGCGCTTCGTGCTCCCCGATGGCATGAAAAAGTGAGTGGATACTCCCACGGCTAGGCCTGAGCGAGAGATGCGCGAGAGAGAGTGAGAGAGAGACAGAAAGACAGAGAGACAGAGACAGAGAGACAGCGAGACAGAGACAGAGACAGAGAGACAGAGAGACAGAGAGACAGAGAGACAGAGATACAGAGAGACAGAGACAGAGAGACAGAGACGGGACGAGTTGGGTGGAGGGACTACGGAGCGGAGCATCAGATATCCTCCTCCACCCGTACCTTATTGTCTTCCTCGCTTCTCACTCCTATGCGCCTATCCCGCGCTCTGCGGCTTATTGCTCACTTTCCAAGTCGAACGGGTGGCGGGCGCGGGGATGGATGGCGGGCGACCACGTGAAATAAATGTTTGCGGGGGGGTTTGTCGGGGAGAGGAAGGGGGGGGGGGATTGATGGTACAAGAGGGAGGCCAGATGCCACGTGTTTAGGGTTGGCGTGCGTGCAAGAGTCGTGCTGCGGCAGTTCCAGCCAGCGGTTCGTCGCTGCTAGCAAACCAGACCCACGCGCCAAACTCACATGCTTTTGCGCCTCTGCCTGTGCCCGTGCCTGTGCCCATGCCTGTGCCCGTGCCTGTGCCCATGCCTGTGCCCGTGCCTGTGTCCGTGCCTGTGCCCGTGCCTGTGCCTGTGCCTGTGCCCGTGCCTGTGCCCGTGCCTGTGCCCGTGCGTGAGCGTGAGCGTGTCCCAGAGTGACTTACGAGCGCGACACCAAGGTGCTCAACGCGGCGACGCTGGTCATCCAGAGGGAGGACCACACCATCGGCAACCTGCTGCGCATGTCAGTGCTCCTGCCGCATCCGTGCGCCGTACCATGCCATGCCATACCCTGCCATGCCATACCCTGCCATGCCATACCCTGCCATGCCATACCCTGCCATGCCATACCATGCTTCTTAGACGCCACCTAGGAGAGGCCTTATGCTTGCATTTGTGTCCTACTACTATGCCTCTTAGACGCCCAGACTCCTCCTGTCCTCCTCTTTAATCCGTCCATTTCAGTCGCCAATCATTGCTCAAAAGCTTTCAGCTTCACTCCACTCGACCCCCTTCCTCTTACTCCCCCCCAAACTTCCCCCCCCCCGCCTTACCACCCCCATTCTTCTCTTGGCTGTGGCATGTGTGTGGGGTGCACTCCCATTCGTCTCTTGGATGCGGCATGTGTGTGGGGTGCGGCATGTTTGGATATTCTCCATGCACATGCATGCGCACATGGATGCATGCGCACATGGATGCATGCGCGGGTGCGTGCATGGTGGCAGGCAGCTGCACAGGGACGCTCATGTGCTCTTTGTAGGATACCGCATACCCCACCCGCTCAAATACGAAGTGCACTTCAAGGTTCCTCCTCTTTCCCTCCTCTTTCCCTCCTCTTTCCCTCCTCTTTCCCTCCTCTTTCCCTCCTCTTTCCCTACGTCCACATCACCCACCGTCTCGTGCTCCTCTTGCCTCTTCTATGCCATGCACGGAGCGAATGACAAAAGCTTACGTGCCTGCATGATCAAGCCATTTGCTGTCGCATCCAAAGTAGTTCACCTGTAAACCCAGATGATACTTTTGAGGCGCCTCAAAGTAGTTCACCTGTAAACCCAGATGATACTTCCGGCGTTTTATTTCACCTTTCCCCCCTCTCACACGTCATCCCCTCCCATCTGGTGACCATCGCTCTCATCTCTTGTTCGTCCTACCTTTCCCCTCTCCCTTGCGCTTCCAATCTCATCGCCCTTCCCCCCCGTTCCTCCCCCCTGTCTCATCCACCCCGCGCCTGCGCCCTGTCAGATCCAGACGACGAGCCAGTCGTCCCCCCAGCAGGCGTACAACACTGCCCTCACGGCCCTCGATGGCGAGATGCTGCACCTCAAGGCCGCCTTCCAAGTCAGTCCCGTTCCCTCCCTCTCTTGCGCTTGAGCGGTCCAAAATCAAGAATTATTCAGGTTACACATGGGGTAGTGAGGGACACCTGTGTAATCTGTGCCACCGCTCCCTCCACATCTCTCTCTCTCTCTCTCTCTCTCTCTCTCTCTCTCTCTCTCTCTCTCTCTCTCTCTCTCTCTCTCTCCCTCCTCCCTCCCTCCCTCCCTCCCTCCCTCCCTCCCTCCCTCCCTCCCTCCCTCCCTCCCTCCCTCCCTCCCTCCCTCCCTCCCTCCCTCCCTCCCTCCCTCCCTCCCTCCCTCCCTCCCTCCCTCCCTCCCTCCCTCCCTCCCTCCCTCCCTCCCTCCCTCCCTCCCTCCCTCCCTCCCTCCCTCCCTCCCTCCCTCCCTCCCTCCCTCCCTCCCTCCCTCCCTCCCTCCCTCCCTCCCTCCCTCCCTCCCTCCCTCCCTCCCTCCCTCCCTCCCTCCCTCTCTCTCTCTCTCTCTCTCTCTCTCCCACGTGCTTTCCCTCTCCCTGTCTTTGTCCCATTCGTTCTCTCTGCTCCCCCTTCGCCCACTCCCTCACTAGTACCTATTCTTAGTTTGTGTGCATGTGTGCGTGCATCCCTTCCCTTCCCTTACCTTCCCTTCCCTTATCATTGTGCATCCCTTCCCTTTTCACAATTTCTCTTCCGTTTTGCAGGAGGCAGTGAAGCAATGTCGCGAGCGCCCGGCTTACTACTGACAGTAGAACTTTCGTTTTGCGTATTGCTTGTTTTTTTCTCTCTTTTTTTGTATGTAGGATAGAATTATATTCATTAGTTCTTTCCTCTCTTTTCTCAACCGTTTCTTCTGTTCTGTTGGCCGCTAATGAATTCTGTAACGGAGATGGTCACGTACATATACGTGGTTGCCTCCCGCTGTATCTCTACCTACGCCACCCGCGTTCGCATATGCATGCAATCGACGGCACAAGAGACTAGCTCCCCTAGCACGCCTCGGCTTACCCCGTGATTCCTTTGAAAGCCGCGTCGCCGTTCTCCGAACCACGCGCTCGCGCCTGCGAGTGTAGCCTAGGTGCACTTTCTCCATCCCTGCGCACCTCCTAACGCCTCACACAATCGCCCCGCACCACAGTCGCCTCTCCCTCATCGCATGGCATCCGCGTCCTCCGCTGCCCCTGCGACGGGCGAAGCCACGCCCTCCTCTTCGGAACTCCCGCCCAGCGCAGCCCCTCCGACTAGCGCAGCCCGTCAAGCGGACGGCCAGCAGCCGCAGCAAGAGCACAGGGGGAAGGAACCTGCCGCAGCGGCGCCTGCGGCGGGTGCGGCAGCGGCGGCAGGTGCGGCGTCAGGTGCGGCAGCAGGGGCGGCGGCGGGGGAGGTGGCGTGCGGGAAGGAGGCGGTGGATCTGCTAAACTGCGTGGCGGATGCGCGCAACGACCTGTCCAAATGCACCGCGCTCATGGGCGCGCTGCGGCGGTGCGCCGCCCGCGAGGTGCGCTCTGTAGTCAAGGCATGGGCGGTGCGCGGTGCTAATTAAAAGCCGATGCTCGCATGCCCCATCACGCAATGCCCTGGCGTGTGGTAAACTCTATGCCCCTGCGACCAAATCATTGCAATACCGCTCAAGAAGAACGTGAGCAATACCTTTGGTTTGTGTGTTGCGCTTGTCTTGCGCCTGTCCTGTCGCAAGCACAAAGTTTGCCCTGCCCCTCTAATGCCCTCTCGCCTTTTGCTGATTTAGGAAACGCCTCCCCCCCCCCCAACCCTTCCCCATCCGCGTGCACGCACTTGGCTTCCACTTGCATGGCCTGCTGGAATCGCTTGAGATCTTTTGCGCTCTTCCATTCGCCTCTCGTCCCCTTCCAAACCGCACTGCTGGGGCCTATCTGATTCTGATCAGCCAGTGTGCGGCACGTCTGCCAGTTTCTGCCTCTCATCTTGTTCTTCATGTCTCGTTTGCTGCGTGTATGGTATGTGCATGTTATGGCTATGTGTGTGTGGGGGGGGGGGGGGGGGATGATCTGTGTATGTGTGCATGTGCGTGGTGTGTGCGTGTGTGGAGGTGTGCAAGTGGGGGCTTCTTCGGGGGGGAGGGATCCGTCTTTTCTACCGCATGGCAGAATGTGAAAAGCTTTTCCCTTCCTACCTCGTAACTGTTGCGAGGCATACTGAGTCACTGCCAGAGAATAAGCAGCTCACTCGTGGTAAGTCAGACCACGCGCGTCTATTAGCACACAGTTTATTATTTCTATCAAGATGATTCATTCTGACTGGCTGCTGCTATACCAATGAAGAACCTTCAACCGGTACAAGTGTTTTTCCCAAGTGGGCTACTATTGTACTGTTGAACTGTGGATGCTGTTAAACGAAGGTAGCTAGGAGTAGGAGGAAGCCATGGAATTGCGTGAGGTTTAGTAAGGAGAAAGTTGAGGAGGGAAAAGAGAGAGAGACTAGGAAGAGAGGCATACAAGGAGGGAGTTGTAGCCTCTACAGTAGAGTTCGATAAACCTACCAAGCCTACCAATTATACCGTAATCACCCGGATAGACGCCCCTATGGGCGTTTACTAGACTGGTTAGAAAACGTGGGGGGGCGTTTAATTGAATAAAAAATATAAGCCCATGGGCGTTTTAAAGGGATTATATGGAAAATTATAAGTTTGACATCGACATGTAGCTGCTGGTTTGTCGTGTGCAATGGGAGTAATTTTAGGCGAGGGTTAAAAGTCAATCGCGTTGGAAGTCCAGTCAACGCGGTGCCAGGCTGGAAACTTCCTTTTCTGATATGAATCGTGCTGGCGCGAGGTGTCAGGGAGCGTGAGTTCCGCCTCTGACGGGCACGAAGCGAGTTGCCTCGGTATTACCTGCACCCGTTCGGTCTATTTGTACAGTGTTTCAACTGAATTTCTGAGGGGGCTTATAGGGTACATGTTCTGAAAAAATAAGGGGGGCCTATAATCGAATAATGCCTATAAGTCCCAATGCACGAGTTAGAGCCCATGGGACTAATCCTACGGAGGGGCGTCTATCCGGGTGATTACGGTATAACAAAATATATAATTTAACACACCCCCTAGGCTTGGTAGCCACAAGCCCACCCAACACACACACACACACACCCCCTAACCCCTTACACCCCCATGCTCGAGATCAGCCAGGTATCTACCCCTCGGGCTTGGCATAGTGACATCCCCCGGCGAGAGGCAGCGCGGGCAACGACCATGGCTGAAGGCTCTCGGCGGTGTGGCACGGCGAGGCGACGACCGGGTAGAAGACAGCAGCTGCGGCAGGAGGAAGAGGAGACGCAGGGGAAGGGGGGGCGAATCTTCAGCGACGCACCATGGGTGGTGCGGCGCTTACTGGCGGGAGAGGGCGAATCTTCAGCGAGGCATCATGGCTGGCGCGACGCTTACTGGCGTGAGAGGACGAATCTTCAGCGAGGCACCATGGCTGGCGTGACGCTTACTGGCATGCGGGCGTTACGACTGGCGCCTAGGACAGGGCGCTGGCTGCAGCTGTCAGTGCACTGGCGTGGCGAAGCTGCCACAGCAGCACGACGGCACGGCGGCACGACGACCCAGCGGCACAGCGGCGCGGCGGCACGGCGACCCAGCGGCACGGCAGCGCGACGGCGCGGCGGCACCGTGGCACGGCGGCATGGCGGGACGGCGACACGGCGGCACTGAGGCACGGCGACGTGACGGGGCCAGCGCGGAGGGACGGGGCCGGCGCGGCATGACGGGGCCATTGCGGCGTGACGGGGGGGGGCAGTGCGCTGCGGAAGCGTGAGGAGAAGGCCTGAGCGAAAGGGCCCTGCTCTGACACCATGTTAAACTAAGGTAGCTAGGAATAGGAGGAAGCCATGGAATGGCGTGAGGTTTAGTAAGGAGAAAGTTGAGGAGGGAAAAGAGAGAGACTAGGAATCGAGAGGCATACAAGGAGGGAGTTGTTGTCAGGATGAATAATTGAACTAGAATGTCTGAGTATAAGGGTATATAGACTAGGGCGTTGTACCCTCTAAGGCACAATTCAGTATAGTCTACAGTAACGACCTAAGTTACATTTGGCACACCCCCTAGACTATATAGGGGCAGTGCCTAATAGGGAAAGAAGCAGCTCAGGGCGGCTAGTCCAGCCTCTGAGGCTAGGGTCTAAAAGACAAGAGCACGACCAGGGCGGCACTACTAGTCCAACCACTGGGAGAGGCCACAAGGCCAGTTAGGGTAAAATATATATATAAACGACAGTACAAGGTCAAGGCTACAGGAACGAGACCTAGCTGTATACAGTGCCGCTGAAAATCTTTAGGCGCAAGCGCCTTGGTAAAGATATCCGCTATGTTGCCACCGAAGGCCAAGTGTACTACGCGTGCCTGGCGGCGCTGCTGGAGCTCACGCAAGAGGAAGTACCACACCTGGATATGCTTCGCCCTGCCCTCGAGTCGAGGCTCCTGACACAGGAGGACCATGGCCCTGTTGTCAGCGTACAGGACCGGGGCAGAGCTAGGCCGCTCACCTAAGTCAGTGAGCAAGAAGGTCAGCCAGCGGAGCTCCTGTGCCGCCATGGCACCGACGTAGATCTCGGCCTCACAGCTGGACTGGGCAACAGACGAGGAGCGGGTAGCTCTCCACAAGACGGCAGCTGAGCCAAGGCTGAAGCAGTAGCCCTGCGAGGACCTGAGGGTCTCGGCGTCGTCTGCCCAAGAAGCGTCTGTGTGTCCAGTAAGGACCACTAGCCTGCGTCCTCCTAGCACTAACCCCATGCCCGATGTACTTGCAAGATAACGCAAAAACCTCTTAGCGGCAGACCAGTGCTGAGGTCTGTGTCTGCCTGGAGCCACAAAGCGAGCCAGGATGCTGAGAGGGTATGCGAGATCTGGGCGAGTGCAAGTCATCAGGTACATGAGGCAACCCACCAGCTCTGCGTAAGGACCACTGGGCTCTGCTGACTCCTCAGGAACCGGAGCCGAGAGCCTGTGGTCTAGAGGTAGAGGAGTGGGCTGTGCGGAGGAGAACTGAAGGCCGAACCTCTGAAGGACCTGGCGCAGCAAGTGTGACAGAGTCAAAGTGATGGTGCGCGCTGCTCTGTCCCTAGAGATCTGCAAGCTAAGATAGTGGCGCAGTTCTCCAAGGTCAGTGCAGGTGTGTCTCTTCAGCAGCTCTGCCTTCACGGAGGCTAGTGCGTCCTTGTCTGCTGTGGCGAAGACCAGGTCATGTACGTAAACAAGGATGTAGAACGGGGTCTGGCCAGCACAAACGAAGAGCAAGGGGTGTGCAGAGGACGGAAAGAATTGCAGGTCAGTAAGCGTAGCACTCACGGGGAGCCTGCCGTGCCGTAGACGGGGCGCCGCAGGAGCCACTGGGTCCAAAGAGGGAAGGTACCAGTGAAGCCCTGAGGGCGGCTCACGTAGACCTGCTCATGTAGATTGCCCTGAAGAAACGCAGTGGCGAAGTCGAGGGAGTGAAACTCGTAGTCACGCTGAGGTGCTACGTATAGCAGCACTCGAAGAGTAGTCATCTTCGGGGTCGGAGCGAAGGTCTGGAAGAAGTCCACCCCCTCACGCTGACTGAAACCTCTAGCCACGTAGCGCGCCTTGAACACAAGCGGCTCTCCAGGAGGGTGCTTCACCTTGAAGAGCTAGCGGCCATCGACTACGTTCACCCCAGGTGGGGGAACTGCGTCGACGTAGGTGCCGGTGGATCTCCAAGATGCCATCTCCTGCTCCATGGCAACTATCCACTGAGAGGCCCAGGGTCCCGAGACCGCCTCAGCGTAAGTGCGAGGGGTCGGGATGTCGAAAGCGTTGGGGTCACCCTCAGGGACTAGAAGCATGGAACAGAGGTGGGGAGAAGCCTCGGACAGGAAAGCAAGCTCGTACTGGCGTTCCTCTAGGACGTCAGTTCCAAGGGCAGGAGCACCCCTGACAGACGGAGGACAGGCAGGGTCAGAGACCAGAGCGGTGGCGTAGTCAAGGCGGCAGGTAGAGGCAAAGTCAGCGACTGCAGCGACAAGGGCGTCAAGGCTCGAAACCGGAACAGACGGGTCAGTAACGAGAGAGGCAAGGACCCGAGGAACAAGAGGACAAGCGGCACGCAGGTAGTCAGACAGAGGGGGGGGAGCAACGACAAGGGAGGACGGAGGGGGCGACGGGAGAAGGGGAGGACGAGACGCGTGGGAACGAAGCAACATAGGGTGAGAGCGCGAGACAGGGGAGACAGATCGAGCATGGGAGGGACGGCGAGACCAGACGTGAGACGGAGGAGTCGGGTCAGGAGACAGAGGAGGGGACACAAGAGGGGAACGAGGGGGGAAACGGGCCGGAGACGAGTCTGGAGGAGCGAACACAGGGCCGTAGACAAGAGGAGGAGGAGGCACAAGCACTGGGTCAGGGGAGGGAAGGCCGAGCAGGAGAAGAGCGGACACCGGCGGAGACTGCTGCGGCGGCGGTGTGTCACCGACACCGGGACCGCAAGCTGCCTGGCGGCTACCTCCAGAACACTCCACGCCACCACCCCCAGAAGGAACACCCCAAGAGCTCAGAACCCCTCGAGCACCGGTACCACCCCCAGGCCCGCCAGGACAAGCCACGACAGGAGTCCCACGACTAGTACCCACCCCAACTCCAGCACCCCCAGAGGCAACGAACTGCTGCGGCGACGGCTGCGGCGGCGGCGGCTGCAACGACGGCTGCGGCGGTGGTGGCGGTGGTGACAACGGCTGCGACAGCGGTGGCGAGGGCAGCTGTGGAGGCGGCGGAGGAGGAGACACCTGAGAAGGGGCAGGCGGCGAGGACTGCGCCACAGGACCACCAGAGTCAGCAGACTCCTCGACCGGGACAGCCGACGGAAGTGGGGTGACGTGGGACACACCAAAAGGGGCAGGATGGGGAGGGGGAGGAGGAGGGGTGGCGACGACCGGGGAAGGGGTGACCAGGAACAGGGGGGGGGGTAACTGGGGGACCTCGGTGGGGGAAGCGGCGGAAGAAGGAGACGGACTCGTCAAAGGTGACGTCACGAGAGTGAAAGAACCGGTGAGACGGCGGGTGGTAGAAGTGCCAGTCAGACGCATCAAGGGGGAAGCCGAGGAAGACACTGGGAAGGGTGCGGGCAGTGAGCTTGTCCGTGCCAGAGGCACGAAGGTGAGCAAGGCAGCCCCAGACGTGGAACGCAGTCGCGTCACCAGGTGACCCAGACCAGAGGAGGGTTGGCGAAACCTGAGGCTGCTAGGGGTGCGGCCACAGGTTAAGCTAGTGAGCGGCGTAGCGAACGGCGAACGGCCACAGAAAATGGGGTGCCCCGGCATGGATCATGGAGGTGCGAGCCACCTCCATGACCAAACCGATGCGTCGATCAGCGACCCCATTCTGCTGCGGGGAGTCCGGCAGGGTGAACATCTGGGTGATGCCCTCCGCACAACAGAAACGACCAAGGAAACCAGAGGCAAACTCGGCACCACGGTCGGAGTGGAGACGCAAGACAGGGAGACCGCGGTGGACACGCGCAGAGACAAGCCACGGGATAAG